ACTATACACTTAGTGCAAATTGACTCATTGTCTTTCCACTCTAATTATGCCACTTTTATTTCTATGCAATTTTCTTACTTGATCACTTTGGTCTTACCACAGAGCTTGTCTACACACTTCTCATTACTGCATCTACTGCATGGCTGTCCTTCTTTATATGGTTTTCTTGGGTAATTCCCCCTGCAAAACAGGAACAGTATTTTGTTAGCTGTCATCGAAAGGCTATCATGGGGAGGGAATACAAATACCCTAATAAAAAAATTGGTCATTGCAATTGCTTGAAATTCCTTTTAGATCAGATTAAAGCTCTCACTGACATGGGGAGCAGTTGACTCCTGCCACTGGAAATTAATGAGACTTCTCAGGCAATACTGTATTATTGTAAGCATACAAGAATTTGCCTCTAGTCCCTCATTACCCCCCTGGATTATAAAAACCAAACCTGTGAAAAGTATGTAGAAATAGTGCAAGGTACAAGATAAACTAGAGAAATGTCTTCCTTTTATTTCTTAAATTACAATGTCTTGTTTGAAATTCATGTAGGGCCAGAGAAAGAGATAATCTTTTTGAAGTGGGAAGATTACACTTTTCCCATTTTTCCTGCAGGGACTGAAGTCAAAACAGATTTTCTTCCACCATCTGCATTATGGTGAGTGGTCTCAGCTCTCTGCTTTTTTTAGAATGGGATTTTCTGCAGTCCCAGCTATGTCCAGTAGGTTCTGTTCCCAATGGCCAGGAGAAGTTTCCCTTTGACAAGTGACATAAGAATGTAGCTTATTCTGAAATTTGTTACAACTGCACCCATCATTGTTGGCATCTGATACCAGATCAGATGGGATATTTAAAAAGAAACAAACCCAAATGCCGCAATTAACTTACGCTGGCCCGTAGTTACAAACAAAATGTGCTGCTTTGAACAGTCCTGGAAGATTTTCTACTGTATTGCAGAAGTGAACTGCACAGCCAACTTTGTAACTCTCTGCCCAGACGACCTGCAGGACAAAGGGAGGAACATAATGCGCTGTTCAAATACTGCCAAGCATTAAGGGAAGAAGGAGAAGGGAAGTATCTCAGGGAAATTTAAATCAGCTGACACCAGAGCAACTTAACCCCGAAGGGCAGCTGGGACAAATGACAGATAATTTTTGTGCTCATTATCTGTCTCCCCTGTAAGTGAGAAATTTCCAGGGAATAATCCCTTTCCACCATTACTTGACATCCCTGGGGCTCATAGTATTTATTTCCAATCTCATGCAACAATAAATTGGGGGGTGCAAACCCTGCTGTAATTCCTGTTCCAAAGCAATCTGTTCCAAGCCTGTACTCAGATCTTTAGTGAAATTAGACCATATATATTAGACTATCCATATGCTAGGCTATAAAGAACTGGGGGCATGTAAGACTCACCTGAGTGTAGTGACCACACTTGTCAGTACATGTATTGGTGCTGAAATCATAGCTACTGACTTCATTAAACCAAGACTTGAGAGCTGCATCCACAGAGAAGATGTGGGCTGTGCCAGTCCAGATGTTTTCTCCAACAAATGGGAAGGTGGGGTGCATTTTTCCTGGAATTTTAAGGTAGGTATTGTGGTCAAACTTGCACTTCTTTGCCCATGCTTTGGCAGTCTTAGCTAAAGCAGCATCCCAGGACTATAGAAAAGGAAGAAAACATACTATAACCTGAACTGCAGTGACTTAACTGAATTCAGACATTTTTAAACATTTTTAAACTTTTGTTAAGAGTTCTTTTCCCCTTTTCTGCTTCCCATCCCTGCCTTCAGTTTCTTTCTCTCACTTAACATTTCTACTCCCATAACAAATTTTTGTCTTCTTTCTCCCTTAGCTATTGCAGGGCATGCAGGATCTAGCCACTGTCCTGTTGTATCGGACCTGTTAATCTATTTAGAGCTGGAGTGCAGTCTTTAAGCTGAGACATCTGGAGGGGGTAACTGTGTGAAACTTCCAGCTGTAGAAGGGCTTGGGGGACTTAGTGCCTAGGAAATGTTGTCTGTCCAGGAATTTGTACTTGGCAATTATTACCAGGCCAGATAGGAATTCTGTTCTGCTAGCCAGGACAGAAGGGAGAGTCACAGCTGCTCCCTTCCTCAGCTCCTTCTGCCTCTTATCTCTTCTCCCTCCTCAGCACATAAAAGATTCATTCATGTATGCGGGGCTGAGAAGGAAACACTCCCATACCAAGAGGCACAAGTGATAATTTAACAAACCAGTCTGGCAGATGTGCAGATTTTATGCTGACAGATGAAGTTCAGTACAGGGAAATTCAAGTTAAGATATGTGAGAAAAAATTGAGTTTGTGCTCCTCATAACAGGTTTGGAGATGGCTACTACCACTTGAAAGTAGTAGACTAAAAAGCAAATAAAGTATTAGAAACGCTTTGCAAAGGAATGGAGAATACAACCACATACATAATCCCACTTCTGCAGAAGTCCTGTTAAATGCTGTGTGCAGCACAGCACCCCATCTCAAGAAAGGTACACTAGAACTAGAAAGGCCTGAGAGAACCTGGAGTAGGATAATGATCTTCAAGTTCAGAGGGCTTTCATATAACAGCAACGAGAGTGCTCTGCAGCTTCAATCAGAGACATCTGTATATCTTGTGTGAAGGTGTACCATGATTGGTACACCTTGTAAGTACACCTTTGATTCAAGAGGTTTAAATATATTCATCCTGCTGTTATTCCAGAATTGCTGGGTCTTTGGTTTGAGCAGGTAAGTTTGCTCTTTTGCACTAGCTTTTTAAATTAAACATAGTTTTTAACATGGCAAGAAATTAAAGTCACTGGTACTCTGAACCTCATCCTTTTTCTGTGAGCTTCCACTTTTAGAAATGATTCATACTCTGCATGTGCTTATGCATTTAACTTCCTTTCCAGCTATGCAGTACTGCTGGAGGGCTCAGAGAAGTGACATGCAACTGACTGGAGTTACTTCTCTCAGCTAGCTATACACATTTTTCCTTACGTATTCCACTGAACAGCATGCAACCTACCCATAACCTGTTCTGATATCCACTGTATTTGTAGCTACCTTGCTTTTCAGCCTAAATATCACCATCCTTACTCTTCAAACCCTGCTACAGCAAATGAAGATCAGGTGTCTGAATTAATGTCCTGGAAAATCCCTTTATTCAACACATGGTCTACATTAGAAGAAACAACAGGAGATGACAGATTTTCAACAAATCCTGTTGCAGACTGCCTATTCAGAAACTTTTTAAAAGCCAAACAGCTTCTACGTATGAAACCTGACCTGATATGAAACAGATTACTAACTGTCTTAGAAAGAGGTAGATGATATACTGAGAACTGAACACTATTTTTTGCAATACAGGTCTTTGCTCTGGCTGAAGTTGAGAGTAGCTAAATCTTGTGCTAAAAAAAGAAAATCCCTTCAAGTTATTAAAATTGAACAATACTGTGAAAATTAATGTATTTTCTATTTCATGCAAAGAACTAACATATATGTTACAGAAATCATTAACTGAAATGGAAAGAATAACACAGTACAAATTAAGAATAAGATGGGCTAAATCAGCCATTCTTTAATAATTTCAAAAAGATCACAAACACCACCTTACCATGCGAAGCATCTTGCTGGCTTGTGGATTCACTTTGGATCGAAATGTGTTGTGAGCTCTCACACAATCTTCAATGAACTTTGCATCTTCTATGTCAGGCAAGGGATATTGCAGATAAGCATGAAAGAAAGTGAAGAAATCCAGTAGGAACAATACAGCAAAGAAAAATGTGATTTTCATAATTCTCCAGTGTTTCTTCACAACTTTTAAAACAAAAAAATCTCTTAGGTGGGGATGATACCAACAAGCAGTTTTTCAGAGGTTGTCCCCAGGGCGTGGAGGCATTTGAAAGTGTTCAACAGGAAGTGAAGAGCAATTGCTTAATCAGGTACAACTCTATCTGACATCATAGCTGGCAGTCAAAGGGCAAAGCGTGAAACAGGCATCTGCCATGCATATCAGCAAGGAGCAACACTCCAAGTATACTTCTGTCTTTTCTTTGAGTGTGCTCCGTCTTGGGTGACTGCCAAACCATTCTGTGACTGTTGATCTTATCTGAAGAGATGCTGTCGAACAGCTTTCTTAACACTGCATCAATCATAAAAAATGCAGCTTTGACAAAACAGAAAACTGCTATTCAGCTGATTTTCCAATAGTATTGCTTATTCACACCAGCTTAGTTTCAATTATGTTGCAGGACATTGCTTCCATATCAGAATTACTCAAGAAATAAACAGAAGTAGGAAATCTGTGCTTCAGCAGGAGTTAAAAAAACGCTCCTGAACAGCACCTTGCTGCAGAACAGACATTCTGGCCTGGTTTGCTGTGCAACAAAAATAAAATTTGGAAATCCCAAGCTTGAGCATGTGTTGATTCTCTCTTCCTTAGTTATTTGCTATTACCTGCTAGCCTGAAATTACTGGAGCAGATTCCTGTGCTCCTGGAGAGCAGCTACAGGATTAGCACTCTTGGTATAACATTCCAATTCTGATCACTTCTCAGGGCAGTAGGATGGTATGTGTTGGCATTTGTATTGTCTCTCCAACTGTTCTACAAGCTGGTTGAAGTTTTTTTTTTTTATTCAAACCTAAACCAAATTGTACAAATATGCAAGAGCATAAGAAGAGCCATATGTTTTAAGAGCTAAGGTCTTGTAACCCAGTTTTAGGTAGGTTTACAGGGAAAAATTGTTACAAATAGATTGTAAAATATGTTAATGAGTCTTATTCTCTGCTCAGTTTTCCTGGTCAGACTTAATGTAAAACTGTGATTATATTACAACTACATGCAGTTTGCACAAAAAAATCAGCACACTAAATCTGCACCATTAATTTAACAGTACAGTGATCTTGCACTTATATATGCATGCAGCTGAAATTCTGTGTTTGGAAAATGAACTGAGATTCTATGCAGTAGAAAATTTTGATTGGTACAGGATAGTCCAGGTTATAAAATGCTTTCGTGCATTTCTGGCTCCATCTAGTGACTCTATCAGTAATTAAAACAGAAGTTCAGCCTGCCCTCGAGCATCTATGATATTTTCCTAAGAAGAGTTTTATACTTTTGCCAGCATTAAGCGGTGGATCTCGACCATTTAGTTATGGAATTTGAATATCACTTTGTATAGTCTGGACAATTCTCCTTCCACAGATCTCAAGTGAAATTTAGCACTATGAGCTGGGTACATGCAAGAAGCTTTACAGCCTCATGATTTGGAAAAATTCCTCATGTTATATCCCATTTTCACACTTCTGACCTGCTTTTAGTTCAAAATGGCTGGAAAAATAAAACCTCAGATGTTTAATGTTTTCCTAATGTTCTGTTTAGGCAGAGGACTAAAAACTGGTGAACTACAGCCTATTACAGATATCCACGATGCCTGGGAATGTGTGAAATTTCATTTAATTTTGTTCTCAAATCATCAACTTCCCCAGAGACTATTGTTCCTTATGTTGAGGAGAGAAGATCTGACCTTGGCTTACTAAGTTCAGTTGAACAAATGGGGTAGATCTGCTGGGTTTTCTTCTCCTGTCCTCAGGATTAGGCAGCTGCAAGATCACTTGGCCTTCCACACCTGTGAATAACCTAATATTCTGACGTGCATTGCTGCTGCTATTACACAATGGCACCTCAGGGCAGAAAACAGATTACTGGACAACAAGGCGATGGTATTGAATTTCCACAAGAATTATTCGGTAAGAAACCATTTTGTATTCATTAAAAGCTAAAAAAATCCTATAATTATTTTGTAGTAATGAGGCTGTAAACAGTTTCACAATTAACAGAGGAGGCCATTAGTATGTGATTGGACTGCAGACAGTTTTACTGTAATTTTGAAGTGATCTGGATGATTACTCCTGTAAACTTAAGTGCAAAAGCTTTGGCACTGCATATTTTTAGACCAAAGAGTGTTACCTGCCATACTCAAGAGAAGACAGGCATTACAGTTTAGGCATCTGCTTTTTCTTAGGAGACTCTTCCAATACCTTCTGCACATGATGAACCAAACTGTAATGAATTCAGGTAAAAATGTTTAACTCTATACCTAGAACATGTGGATGATCACACATTCCATTTCTGGAAGACATGCAGACATAGTAGCTTTACTCAGTATCAGAGTATCTCTCCAGTAGGAAGGGTACAGGCCTCAGACTGACAAACTGACTTGAACATTCCCAAAAGTTTCACCTCTTCAATTATAAACGAAAGAAGCAGTTGTGTTCATCCAACATAATCATTTTTCTGAAAAGGATTTAAAGTGGTGTTACCTGAATGCTGGGTTAAGAACTAAGCATTTCAGGGGCCTTTATGTAACAGCCTCACATACATTTTTGAGATTTCCACCACTTTGAGATTCCAGTGTGTGGCTCTCTTTACAGGTCTACACAGCCCATCCATTTATGATTCATAAATTTTATCCATTTTCAATTTTGTGTCTGAGCTTTCAAGCACACAACTGCTCCTGGATCACACATGATCTTCAATTATCAATTCTGATGACACAGGTACTTTTACATGCTCACAGTGTTTAATACCTGTACCCTGCTTGTTTTTTGCCAGTGACTAGTTTCCTTTGTAATTTTCCCTGAAATGTTGCCTGAAATGCATGAACATTTCAATACGACTTAACTCTGTAAAACAAGAAAGGAGCAAACAATCAAGGGGAAAAAAGTTTAGACGTGAATATCACTCTAAGACAAATGTGCAAAACCCTCCAGAATGCTATGCAGACAAGGCTGAATTGCAATTATTAAAATGTAAAAACTACTTTCCTAAGTAACTTTTCATAATTTATTATGCCACAGAAAAAAAAAAAAAGAAAAAATACTTTCCTATGATACTGTCTAGTTCTAGCCTTCTAAAAAATCTACTGCCAAATAAACAGCAAAACTTAAATCCTGCAGCCTTGCTTTTGTTTTTGTTACAGGCAGAACCAGGGGCAGAAAACAAGAATTAACACTTGAAGAGAAATAAGTGAGAAAAGACAAAAACAGCTGAAAGGAAAATGTTCCATAAATGATTCTGGTAACTTTTGATATTTTCATTTCACAATCCAAAACTTACTAAGAAAGAATCTCACAGATACCATTGTGTCTGGTAACAGTTTCTCTGTAGGTAAACTACATAATGTAATGTAAATGTAAATGTAAACTACATAATGTAATTTACATGGAGAGCAGTCTAAGCACCTTTGAACACTGAGATAAGAAGTTTAAGAGCTGCTTTTATTAGCTAAGATCTACGTGACATTAAAATTATCATCTGTTTTAGATCAGTGAAATATGTACTTGCTCATAGATGAAACTGATGATGTCAAACTGACCTGATGTTAAAGCTTATTTTTTCAACATGGGAATGAATAAATAAAATATTAAGTGTTCAACAGAAACGTTTACTTCCTCAGCAGCATTAAGTTTCACAAAATTACCACTGAGAAATCAGAAATATATCATAAATTTTGTCATTGATTATTTAAGTATATGTTATGTGCAAAAATGCATTCATTTGTCTATTCCCTTGCAGTCTGTGCCACAGCTGCATCCCAGGTCTACACAGCATGAAAGGTGAAAGGGTTGTGCAATGTTGAGTTACAACAAAATCTTAAACAATCAGATAAATCCAGTGAGCAATAAGCAGATAAATAGCAAACACTGGAGTTTCAAAAAGAAATACTTTCCCTTATTTGGGCGAGTACATGTGTTTTATTTTAATTGACTTTTCCTATTGCAGCACAGAAATACAAACTAATTTAATTAGACAAGATTTTCCTCCTTTCAGTGTTGAAAATTAACTTTGTAAGAGCTCTTGCTAGCGACTGAAAAATATTTGAAATGCAGTTTTGTCTTCAGGCAAGGAACTGCTGGCATGTTATTAAACATTAAACTTTTGGGGTTTTATTGTTGAACAGGCCATTAAGGTTTTTTTTATTTGAAACATAAAAAAAAATTCAAAGTAAAAATGCACATATATTGTAGATTCAACAGTACAAATTTTTTAAAAGAGAGTCTCTTAAAACAAGTATTTACTCTTCCTATGGTATGGCTTTAAATACACATCAGGGCATTTTACAAAGACAGCTTCATGAGGTAAACATGCCAATTCTTGGCCAGTAACTCATGCTACTACCTCTTACTTCTTTGCAGCTAATTCCTGAACAGCAACGATCTGTATTTGTCTTCATGACTGTTTTTCATAAAGTTTACCATTAAAGTACCCAGTTTGATATCTTAATAGAAGATGCTGTGATTTATTACTCTGGTTTACTAGCGCTCATACGTTTCAGTTCACTCTTAGTTTCTTTTTGGACTTTACAATTAACTCCACCGACTGCTGATACTCTTTCCTCCCCAAGGCCTTTGGTTTTTCCAAGCCATACTTTCAGTCTTAACTTTTCCTGGTTTTCCTATTCCTGAGCATTTAAAGCTGCGCGTGGTGTCTTTGGTGTCTTTTGCTTCCAAAATCACCACCCTCCCCTTATCTGCCAATCCAGCTTAAAACCCACCCAAGCAAAGGACATTCTTTGCTGAATAAATGCGTGCTCCCCAGTGTGTTCAGGATGCTCATCATTTAGCTGCCCATTGCTAACATGTTCGTCTTGTGGCACTAAACGGACTAAACATCAAACATCTGCTTTTTCTGCATCTTCTTCACTTTCGTTTAACCCTTTCCGGCAAAAATCTTCACTTGCCACCGGAAAAGTCCTTCAGCCCTCGGGGTACAGCTCATGTGCTGGCTTTAGGAGGAGAGCCGGTGCCGCGGCCGGAGCCATGCCGCACCGTGCCTGCCGTGCC